GCACAACAATGTGAATGTGCTTAATGCCATTGAACTGTACACTTAAAATGGTTAAAATGGGGACTTCCCTGGCGGTCCAGTGGTTAAGACTTCGTGCTTCCAGCGCAGGGGGCATGGGTTTGATCCCTGTTCAGGGAACTAACATCCTACATGCCGCACAGTACGGCCAAGAGAAAGAAACAAAATACAACAACAATAATGCCTCATTCTCCCCTGTCTCCAACCCCTGGCAACCACTACTCTGTTCTCTGTCTCTTTGAGTCTGACTACCCTAGGAACCTCATGTAAGTGGCATCATACAGTATTTGTCCTTTTGTGACTGGCTTATTTAACTGAGCAGAAAATCTTCCAGGTTCATCAGTGTTATGGCATGTACCAGATTTTCCTTCCCTTTTAGGGCTGAATAATATTCCATTGTACTTATATACCACCTTTTATTTATCCATACATCTGTCAGTGGGCACTTGGGTTGCTTCCACCTTTTGGCTATTGGGAATAATGCTGCCATGAACATGGGTGTACAAATATCTGTTCTAGTCCCTGCTTTTAATTCTTTTGGGTATATATCGGAAGTGGAATTTCTAGATCATATGGTAAATTCTATTTTTAATTTTCTGAGGAACATTATTATTTTTCTTTTTTAAAAATTTTTATTGCAGTATAGTTGATTTACAATGCTGTGTTAGTTTCTGCTGTACAGCAAAGTGAATCAGTTGTACATATACACGTATCCACTCTTTTTTAGATACTTTTCCCATATAGCTCATTACAGAGTATTGAGTAGAGTTCCCTGTGTTATACAGTAGGTCCTTATTAGTTATCTATTCCATATATAGTAGTGTGTGTATGTCAATCGCAATCTCCCAGTTTATCCCTCCTCACCCCTCTCCCCCTTGGTACTATTCCATATATAGTAGTGTGTGTATGTCAATCGCAATCTCCCAGTTTATCCCTCCTCACCCCTCTCCCCCTTTGGTAACCATAAGTTTGTTTTCTGCATCTGTGACTCTATTTCTGTTTTGTAAATAAGTTCATTTGTACCATTTTTTTAGATTCCACATATAAGGGAACCTTATTTTTTATTATATGTTTGAAATGGTTCACAGTAAAACGATTAACGGTATTTTAAAATGCTTCATAATGGCAAGAAGTTACTCTGAAAACGCATCTTCTGGAAGAATGCCCTTACGTGCGTCTAATACTCTTTAAGAACTCGAAATATTTAGTGGATGTGGCATTGGCTCCCTCAAATCAAAGCCCCTAGGAGGTTAAGCTACACCCACACTGGTATTCAAGCTCCCCTTGCTAGTGCTGGCTTCATGAAGGCATGGGACACACTTCAGGTCAGTGAGGCCTGAAAAGAAGTGTGTGTGTGGTGAGGAGTGAACTTCAGGAACTATTTCCTTACTCCTAAGAAAGACACTAGGAGAAGGTGGCCTTGGTTCTGGGCGTGGCTGTAGCGCTGCCATTCTGTCACCATCTTGAAGGTGGAGCCACAGAGGAGAAGGCAGAGCCGAAGGGTAGGAGGGGCTTAAGTTCCAGTGTCGTGGAGTTTTTGGCTGTTGAGTGCGTAATACAGGTATAGGTACATGCAATAAATGTCCTATTATTCAAGCGACTTGAGTGGAAGCTGTTAGTTGAGGTTGAAAGCATCTTCACTGATTGAGTAAATAACTTCTAATTTAAAAAATTAGATAAGTAATATATATATATTCTAATTATAAACACTTAATAATACTGAGAAAATTTTAAAGTTCTCCATCACTTTCCCCATCCCATTTTCCTTCCCTAGACCTTTTTTACTATATACATATGCAGTCTATGTTTACACACATTTTTGTTTTAAGAAAATGTTGGCTATACTACATATAGATCATTCTTCACATCGCTTTTTTTACCTAAAAATAGGCTTTGAAAAATGTTCCATACCATTTTCTTAATTTAAAAAAGTGTTGTATAGTATTCCATGGTGTGGGAATACCCACATTTATTTCACTGTTCCTTTATCAGTGAACATTTAGACATGCCTCTTTGGGCACTGGTGAAAATACTTATGAAGAGTGAATTCACTGAAGCAGAATTCCTGAGTTAATGGATAAGTGCATTTTAAGTTTTGATAGATGTCATCTTGCCCAGAGAATGCTTGTGCCAATGTAGGTGCCGAATGCAACAAAGGGGCAGCCCCCGTGCCCAAGGTTCACCCTCCCCCTGCCCACACACGCAGCTGCCGGCCTCTTCCTACCCTCTCTCCTCCAGCTGCCACCCCAGTGGCAACAGCAAGGCTTTCTCCCAGAAGGAAGCCCTGTGTGTACGTGGGAAAAATGACAGAAATGAGGGGAGGGGACACTGGCCCTGCCTTCCAGGAACTTCTTTTCTCTCATGGGAGAAGGAAGCAACACTGAAGGCAGTTAGTGACTCAACAGGGATGATATTAAAAATATTTAATACCCCCTATTAGGAACACAAATCAGGAGAAGGCCTTGCCAGTAGTGCCTCCAGATGGGAGGCTAGAGGCCCTCTGCTCAGCCAGACATTAACCCTTTAGTTGTCAGATCTATGAAGGTCTGAGGGAATCCCAAGGAAGGGGCTGATGAGAGTGCAGACAGGGTGGCCACAGCAATGCATATGGGCTGCCGTCCCTGTGGCATTCCAAGGGGTCGTAGGGGATCTGAGGAGGCACATGCCCTGGGTACTACGGGACTCCGAGAGAGCTTCTGGGAGGAAGATTTTCTTGCAGAATTTGGGTTGGGAGGAGAAGCAAGCAGGCCAGGAATCAGCTGGGTCAAGGCAAGCCCTGACCCTCTACTTCCTTTCTCTTTTTAAGTGTCCTCCTTGAGTCCCTCCTCTTCCTGATCTGCCCAGAGAAATATACATTGATCTGGGGCAAATTTACTCAGTTTGAAAGAAACAGTGAACTGGTCATTTTTATAATATAAAAAGACTCCATCAAATGCTCCCTGACCTCAATTTTCTTTATTTTGTGCATTAGAGAAAGGCAAGATTTTAAACGTACCTACTTTTCCTCCATATTGGGTTGAAAGGGCTACAGAGCTGACTTCAGACCATGAGCCACCCCCTGGCAGACACACGCATGGTCTTCTTTTTTTTTTTTTTATGGTCTTCTACCATAAGGGCATTTTACCCCACCAGGACCCCCTGAGCTCCTTGGAGGAGCCCTGCCTGGTGCCATGCTATTGGACGATCCTTGAAACCGAGGCACTAACAGACCCTGCATCAGGCCTCAAGAACCCGGATGAGGATCTGTCGTCCCTCAGACAGACCCGGGGACACTGAGACCCCGGAAGGGAGAGCTGCCTGAGGTCAAACAAGTATACAGGATTAGAGGCAAAACCAGGGCTGAGTGCTGTGTGGGGGTGGGGCATCACTTTTTAGTGGCCTGATGGGGGGAGCGGCTAAGATGGGGGCGCGGGAGGTTGCTTAGCTCACCGCAAACCTGCAGGGTGGGTGGAGAAGAATCCAGGGGCCCGCAGCCAACTGTCCCTACTTGCAAAACCCAGGACCCAGGAACGTTTAATCCGTTTAAAGAGAAACGCGGGACACTGCCCAAGAGGCCAAGACGCCTCAGGAGGCTTTTTGGTTCCTAGTTCCGGCCAACCGGGCAGGCCTTGTCCTCTGCCTGGGGAGGGCGGGTGGGGAAGACGCCATCTTTGGTCTCCAGGTCCAAGGTCGTTTGGCACCATCTCTCCCGCCTACCAGATTGCCGGCAGGGCTGCGCCGGTTCTTCCGCTTTTCTTTCCCTGCAGTGGAAGCATGGAGTCTTAACCACTGGACCACCAGGGAAGTCTCCCCCCCGCCCCTTTTCTTTCGGGGCCTTTTGCACTACACCCACAGGTCTTCCATCGTCTTTTTGCACCGAGGTTCCAGATTGGTGATGGAAAGACTGAGGTCTGGGGCCTCTACGGGAATCATGAAGGAGCAGAAACCTCAGTGGTGCTTCTCAGACCTGCAGGCCGGAGATCACCTGGACACAAAGCCGTTTATTTTCCCTTTTAGCTCGGAGGATGAAGAGAGGGGGCACTGTTTTCTACAGAGACACCGAAAAGCCCTTTCTTAGTTCCCCACCTCGCCTCGGCAGGCGGAGGTGACGGGTGATTCTTACATTTTTTAATTTTTTAACAGCCCCTCCTGAGCGTGTCCAGCTGTTTAAAGTAAGGCCCCGCGTTCCCAAATACTGGCAGAAGGCGAGCGCATGTGGGAACCTGTGCTGGGGGGAGGGAGGGGGGGCGCTGACAGCCCCATCCGCAGCCAGGGAAGGGTCCATCCGTTTAAGGCCCCATCACCTAGGGGCCCCGCACAGCCTCGAAGTGTTCCTGCCCGGATCTGGGAGCCCCACGCACCTGGAGGGCGCTCGGTGTCCACTCCCAGAGGGCGCTGCAGACCGTCGCCCACAGTCGACAACCAACTGCCGCCCCTCCCGCCACTCTCCCAGGCAGAGCCTCAGTACCTTGGGCCGGGTCTCAAAGGAGTGCGCTCGGCCCCCACCACCCGGGAACCTAGGAGTAGCTGAGCTGCAACGCCGGAACCACGGCCAGCTGGGAAGGTGGCTCCGGAGGTAGGCGAGGCTCTGCCCACGCACCGCAGGCCGGGGGCGGGGCGATCCTGAGGGGCCGGGCCACTCAGGGGGCGGGGTCTTAGGGGGTGGGGACTGGGGCTGGCCCCAGGACCTGGAGAGCTGGGGGTGGGGGGCTAGTTTTTGCAACGGCTAAGGGCCTGCGGCTTTATTATAAGGCGGAGCTCGGCGGGAGAGGTGCAGGCGGGAGCCGAGCTGAGCGGGGAGGAATCCAGCCGTAGAAAGCGGATTGCAGCCGGCGGACCCCGCAGCCCTCACCTAGGACAGCCAGCCGCGCGCTGGACATCGCTCGAAGGAGCTGCGCGCAGCGCAACCCGCGGAGCCGAGCCGGAGCCCCGTGCAGTCTGGGCAGCGCAGCTCAGCCCTGACCCGCGCAGCTCGCCGCGCTCCAGCCGCCGGTCCGGGCAGCATGAGGCGCCCGGCGCTCTGGCTCTGGCTCTGCGCGCTGGCGCTGCGCCTGCAGCCGGCCCTCCCGGTGAGTGTGGCCCGGGGCCGGGCTGGGAGGCGGCGGGAAGCCGGGGTTGGCACATCGGCGGCTGCACGTGGAGGGGGAGGGGAAGCGGGGACTTCCCTTCTTCCCGCGCTAGCCCGGCGGGCCCCGGTACCCGGAGCCCCGAAATCAGGGCTCCCGCCCCAATTACCTCCGCCGTCGGGGGGCGCCGCACGGGTTCCGCCGCTCGGGGCGGGGACCCGGGGCCCGCGGCGCCCAGCGGAGCGGAACCTGCGCCGGGGCTCCGCGCTCAATTAGGTAAAACGGTTCCACAGGCGAAGGAGCCCGCCAGCCTGCGGCGGCGCCTGGGGTCGCCGGCTCCCACCCGGTCACCCCGGGCGCCGCGGCGCCGGCTCCCCCGCCTGTGACCCGGGAGGATGCAGTGATCGCGGCAGCTACGCCCCGTCCGCGGACCCTAATTCAAACCAGACTCGCCGAGCCCCGGCTCCTGGCCCCTCGGGCGGAGGCAAGTTTGGGCGCAGCGGTGTCGGCGCTGGAGCAGGCGGGCGTGTTCGCTAAGGAGCCCCAGCCAGGGCTGCGAGGGGGACTGGGGCGGGCGGGCGGGCGGAGGCGGGGTCCTCGGCTGTCCGTTGGCTGCCCGAGACGAGCCGGGCCGAGCTGGTAGAGGGAGGTTCCGGGAAGTTGGCCCCGGAATCCTAGAGACCCGCAGGAGCCCAACTTCTGGGCTGCTGAAGTTGTGCTACCCGGGGAGGGACGCGAGCCGGCGCTGGGCACCGCCGCGGCGCGCCGAGAGTGGACCCGCGAATGGCTCTTCCCCTCCCCCGGCCTGGCTTTGTGCTGGAGCCGCGCCGAGGGAAGGCGGGTCCCTTGGCCCGCCCAGTGGAGCTGGAGGAAAAGGGGGACAAATGTGGAGCCCGAGGCTGGGGGGTGGAGGCCTTTGGGTAGGACTCCAGCATCCACCTTTGGCGAGGGGTGAGTCCCCTCTGAAGAGGGACCTGGCCGACAAAGAGCATCCCGAGGGTCCCCAGAAAGTGATCTCCCGCCTCAGCTGCAGTCCGCTGGCCCGCCTTCCCCAAAGGGGGCGCTTTGTTCTCGGCCCCTGTAACCCTTTCCTGGGAACCGCCCCGCAGCGCCGTCCCTAATATGGGCTGGGACCTGGGCTGCCGCCAGGTGTCAGCCCTGGCCGCCGGGTGGTCATGTCCATCCCCCCAGTCCCCACACCCATTGCTAGAGTCCCGGGGTCCTCCCCGCGGGTCGGGTCGGCCATCCCCCGGTATGGAGAAGGGAGGTGCGGACCGAGGAGCTCTTCCCGTGCCGGAAGTGGCAGTCTCTGGCCAGCACATCTGGACGGCTCGACTTCCCTAGCTCTGGCAAAAGGAGGCACGTGGGAGGGGAAGGAGCGGCTGCCGGGAGTGGGTACTCCGGTCCTCCACTTATAATGTATTATCTGGACAAGTCCCTCAGCAACGCCAACCCTCTGAAAGCGGGTCCCTCCATGGTAATAGTAGCTCCCAATTATTGACAGCCTTGCGGCATTTTGCAGGGTCTGGCTCAGGTGAGGTGCTTTGCAGGCTGATCTGTGAAGTGCCCTCCTTGCTTCCCAGGTGACTGTTATGCTTGGAAACATTTTGGAGTCCAGGAAGGGGTCCCTAATGCCGCTTGAATTGCTGATGAGTTGGAGTGTTCATGTGGGGTGCCCTATCTGGGGGAGCCATGGGGAAGGACAGGATTTCTGAGCTGGGTCTCCATAGCACGCCTGGCTTTTAGGTCCAAGAAGTTGGCATCTGGCTTCTCCTTCACTCTTGAAGAATCTGTGGGATTCAGACTGCACCTTGAGCCAATAGTTAATACTCTAGAGAAGAGGGTGAAGGCGTTTGGCTTACCTTCCTGGCCCCCCTGGCCTTTCCTGGCTGCCCCACTCTCTCCAGGCACAAGATGGGGCCTTAGCAGCACTCCACCTATTTCCAGCCAGAATCAGGAGTGCTAGTGGTGGTTCCTTTGCTTGCCTTAGGTGAGGCTGGCATTCC